GACAGCTGAGGCTCATCTGCATGAAACTTCAGTCTTAGGAAGGATTAGACACACTCACTCACATGCACACACACGCATGCTTTGGAGTAAAATGCAAAATCCAAATGATTTTTAATAGAGAACATGAAAATTCAAAGAACAAATTCTCTCTTCTGCTCTGATTTTGAGGCCCCTGCAGGAGGAGGCTGCTGCCCTCTGCTCTCCGTTTTTGTTTTTGTTTTGGTAGGACATGAGAGAAGCTGCTGGGCCGCTCTGAGTCTTCCGCTCGCCTGGGTCACCTCACCTCTGCTTCCTCTCTTCCAGCCCCTGCAGCAGTAATCCCTCCCACACATAATGTTTCCTACCTGGGGCCCCGTGCTGTGTGCCCATGGGGAGCACCCGTAGTGCAGGGCCTAGGGTGGAGGCAGGCTGGATGAGCGCCCTCCCGCAGTCGCCTCTCCAAGGCCAGACAGGAAAGATACCTGTGCCCTTCGGTGCCTCCTCCTCCTCCTCCCCAGAACCTGAACATCCAGGTGGAAGACATCCGCATCCGAGCCATCCTCTCCGCCTACCGAAAGCGCACCCCTGTGACGGAGGGCTACGTGGAAGTGAAGGACGGCAGGGCCTGGAAGCAGATCTGCGACAAGCACTGGACGGCCAAGAATTCCCGTGTGGTCTGCGGCATGTTTGGCTTCCCTGGGGTGAAGACGTACAACACCAAAGTGTACAAGTAAGAGGCCCACGCGAAGCAAGGCTTCCTGGGTTGTCGCCTGCCTTGCGAAGAGTAGGCTCTTGCAGTGGGTGCTGGGCAGAGGGCCTCCGCCAACCCGCTGTCATGTGCGGGCCTTCCCTCTGAGGAGCTCAGGACCTGTGGGAGACAGACCCCGCACGGATGACAAAGGCAGAGTGAGGGGAGGTGTGGCGGAGGGAGAGGGCAAGAAAAATCCACCTCGGTGCTGACAGCTCAGCGACCAAGGGGCTGAACTAGGGCAAAACTCAGGCGTGGCAGGCAAGGACAGCACCAGCTTAAGAGGACAGGTTTACTTGCCCTCAGCAAATGATTCGTCTGAGAAATCTGGAACTTGCAGCAACTGTTAGGAAATGGAGGAACTGATCAAGTCTATTGGTTATACCAATCCCCATGAAATCTTACAATTCCTTTCTGGTTCCCAAGGTTCACATATCCTGGGAGAAAAGGAGTAGAAACAGGACTTAGAGTCATTTGCCCTGAGGGGTGTCCGTGGTATGTTGGTTGGCAGTGGGGCCTTCCTATCTCCCCTTAATAATGATAATAATAATAATCTGTTTATTACACGGAGTGCTTACCATGTGCCAAGCTCTGTTCTTAGTCATTTAATCCTCATGTCACTAAGAAATAGGGGTTGATTTTAGAGTTGAGGAAATGAAGCCAGAGAGGCAGGCGGCAGATTTAGGATCCAAACACAGGTCTCCAGCTATGGGGTCCACACTCCTGTTTCCTTTCAAGTTAGAGGAAGTCAGGAGACCTGGGATCCAGCCCCAGCTCTCCCTCTGGTTTCCTGGGGTCAAAGCAGGCTGCAGGTCCCTGGGCTTGGCCTGGCCTGGCCACCTTGAGTTAGAAGCCCCCGGCTCACCACGAGGCTGAGTGCTGGTGACGTGGCTGCTCAGCTTGTTGGGCTCAGTGCCCCCCACCCCCAGGGGCTGATCCTAGTAGTAATTCCCACCCCTAAGCGTGGCCCAGACCTTCCTGTTTGCACCTGGGGTCTCCTCTGAGTACTTTGGAGAACTCTTGCTGGCTGGCCAGCTCCTTCCCTGGGGACATTTTCTCAGTGTTTCCTACCGACTGGAGCCAAGAAAAGCAAAATCCCCTGACAGGCTCCCACCTGGAGGCCCCACAGTGTCCCAGACTGGTCTGAGTGCCGTTCTGAGCCTAGGAGGGTTGCCATCAGCCCTGCCCAGGACAGAATGCAGTGCCCGAGGCCAGGCAGCATGTGCCTGTTCAGAAGGCATTTGAAAAGCCATCTCTCCAACTGCAGACAGTTCAGAGTCCTTTTCCTAATTTTGAGGAGAAAATCTCCTGTCTATTTTGGCGGTTGGGCCCCAGGGGATCTGTTTACATATGGGGTTTGAAACCACCATCCTGGCTCCTCCCACCTCCCAGTCTATGGTTTTGGTTTTTTTTTCAGATGGGGGCAGGAAAGGGCTTCCAAGGCTGGGAGCATCCACAAGGCTCTCTTCCTGACCTCTAGCTGGAGGTGGTATGGAGGGGCAGAAGGGCGGGGCAATACCTTCTCGGCTTGTGTCTGCCATTTAGTGTTCATGTCTGGAACTCAGCTGGAAGTTGGACCCCAGACGAGAGAGGTGTGCTGGGAAAGATTTTTTGTGCCTTGGTGGTGCTATTAGGATTCGAAATAGCAGCTGGCTGGAGGAAGCTGTTAGCAATGAGCAGGGACTCCCAGTGCACGCGTGGGCCCCCGGGGTCATCCAGGCTCTCAGTCTGCACGAGGGGAGACCCAGGCCTGAAAGCTCTCGACTTGAGGGTCACAGCGCCCACTCCCGCCAGATCCCGCAGGGCTACTCCAGGGAGAGCGGTCCGCACTGCTGCCTCCACCTCAGACCTGTTCCGCCCTGGTCACTCAGCCCAAGCCCCCGCCACGGAGTTCGCTGATATGTCCGAGAGCTGGGGTGGGGCTGGCCTGGGCATGGGGTGTCTGCAAGCCCTACTCTGAATTTGAGGAAGGAGAAGCCTGGGAGCCAGAGAGAGGGTCACACTCTGTTATGGTTCCTGAATTCGCGGCTTCCAGTAACATCTTTCCCCCTTTCCCTTTTATCCTTCCCACAGCCTGTCTCAGGGGTTGCTGGTGTTACCCGCCCCCACCCCATCCCATGGGGCAGGGGAAGTGGCTCTCTCTGAAGAAAACTGTTTTCAAAGTAACTCTCCCTCTGGGATGGGGTTAGTAATGCCCATGTATCCGCCAGGCCCATGAGGAGTTTTGCAACCTTGGGAATTCTTCCTCCCTGGCTCCCTCTGCTAAGCTCCAGGTCCCATGGCCCTAAGGGGCCTCAGAGTGGCTGGGACCACAGCTCTTCCTCAGAGCCTCTGCTAGCCACCCCTCCCCCAAATCAGAGGAGTCCAAAAGGGTTGTCCACACGTTCCCAGGGGCCTCCGTGCCCATAGGCTTGTCCGAGGGGAGTCAGGTTCCCTGCTCCAGGCCGCTTTGCTGTGAGCTGACTTCTGCGCTGGGCTGGGGAGCTGGGCATGCACCTCAAAGTAAATGAAACCAAAGCCTCAGGGCCCATCCCTGGAGCAGGAGCATTTCATACTGTAGCTTTTTGTTTTCTTAAAGCAGGAACTCACTATTGATATTGACTTATTGACACGAGCATCTAGCATTGCATCTTGGGAGTTCAGAAGGGCTCTGTTTGGTTGGTTGGTTGGCTGAAACCGGGACCAAAAGGTCTATGAGTAAAAAGGAAATGCCAGCCTTCCTTTCTACTTCTTTTCTCCCAGGTTTCATGTAGAGGTGGGGATTCAAAGGCTTAAGGGAGATCAAAAGGTTAAACTGGGTTTGTCATTTGAGACCTAGTCACCCACCCTGAGAGAGTCCAGAGGACACACCGTTCACAACTCTGCGAGGGAGTCTCAGAATCCTTGGAGAGCTCTGTGATCACTCTTCTCTGTAGGCCAGACCTCACAGTGGGGCTGCAGTCACTGAATTGGGAAACCTAAATGCAATAGGGGTAATTGATCCTGAGGTGGCAGTGGCAAGGTGGGCGTGGTTCTGGGATGGGAAAATAAGCAATCAGAATAGTCTAACCCATGTAGAACTATGGCACTGGCTAGGAGATCATGGTGTTCCTAGAAGTGGAGTATAGTCACGTGCTGCTTAACGCTGGGAATACGTGTTGAGAAAGTGTCGTTAAATAATTTCTTTGTTATGTGAACGTGATAGGCTGCACTCACACGAACCTACGTGGCTTAGCCTACTACACACCTGGGCTGTACGGTACACCACTGTCATATATGCAGTTCATCATTGACTGAAAAGTCGTCATGTGGTGCAGATAAGAAGACTAATGATTCTTACTTGTTTCGTATAAGCAGAAAAGTTCTAGGTCAAGTGAACAAAAGCCTAACCTGAATCATAAAAACAGAAAGTCACAGCCCTCAATCAATTCCCACACTTGAGCCAATTTATAGACCCAGAACCCACTGCAGGGAGAGAAGCCAGGTCTCCCGGAGGAAGGACCCCGGTCCACCGCCAAAGTTTTATACTGTTAATCTGTCTCCCAGCCTTCCCCGAGGGGACCTGGGCTCTTATATCAGGATAACTGTGCATTGGCAAAGAGGAAGTCATCAGAACTTTTGGAGGCCACTGGACACTGGCCATGAACTGATACTGATACAGGAGACTTAGATGTCACTGTGTCCCTGCAGTCAGAGTGGAGGCTTATGGAAGCCAGGCGATCAGGAGTTTGAGCTCAGGTTCGTCTCACAGTGGGCCCAGCGGGCCCTGGGACCCATCCTGTGTAATTTCCCTACTTCCAGAATATATAATTGGGATAGACATACTCAGCAGCTGGCAGAATCCCCGCATAATCTGGCTTCCCCTTGGCTCAGGGAGAGCCACCAGGACTTTTTGGTTTTCGTTTAATCAGTCCAGCCTAGTGTTCTTCCTGCTCCCCAGCCTTAGGCCTGGACGCCTCTTTCTCAAGCAGGCTTCCCACTCGGCCAGTGGCCATCCCATAACTCCGGTTCCCCTCCAATCACTAGGCAGGAGTGGGCCTTCCACCCATGCTTCACAGGGCTCATATCTGCATCCCCCCCCCTTGCCCCCCACCCAAGGCCTATGCAGAGTGACTCATGGAGGAGAGGTGGGTGCTGCATGGTGGGAGCCTGTGGAGGGTCAGAGCGCATTCCTCTGAGCTGATATAAGAGGGAGGCAGGGCCGCCTGGGGGAGGCAGCAGCCTTCTGTGTTTGCTCTGGGTGCTTCGCTCTATATTAAGAGATGGGTACATCTCTTCTTAGGAAAGGGTGGTGTTCTCTGAAAGCTGAGAGCAAAAGAATTTTCCAGGCCAGTGAGAGTTAGCCAATCCTTGTGCAGCTGATAGCCCTGAGTGTGTTCTCTTTCCTGATGTGGGGTGTCTTGGGGAACAAGCTGGAGCTTGCGGTTCCAAGTGCAGGGGCCTCCCGGGAATGGGGTTCTTGGAATTATCGACAGTCCTCCTGGGCAGTTCTCCACGCTGGGCTGCAGCTCTGTTGAGCACACATCCTGAATTTTCCAGAACAGTCCTTTTTTCAAAGATTCTGTGTGACTGTGCCCACAGGTACGCTAGAATTGTTACGAGTCTCAATTTTTGGTTAAAGAAAGATGTTGGCGGTATCTGTTGGGGTTTTCCTTCCTCTGTGTTCATATCCCATTCGTTCACTTTGAGACAAAGCAGAAAGTTCCAGGCCTGCTGGACCAGCAGTGTAGGACCTCGCTTCTGCCCGCTCCAGAGATCCCACTGTCCTGGGAGCCCCTCCAGCGGGCAGCCGGCAGTGATGCTTTTTGGCTGTCTCTGGCATCTCACTGGGTTCTGCCAAGCTGGGACAAGCACACAGACCCCGCTTCCCCAGGACATGGAGTGGAGACACCCCCAGCCTCACTGACTGCTGGGTGAAGATTTGATAAAGTCTGTAGCTGAGTTTCATCACCGTTATAATTTCCATTACCAAGCACATTATACTTTGATTTGGCAGAAGGGATCATTTTAGACCGTTCTCAATGCTTCTCAATTGACTTTACACCGTTAATCTTGTATATCATTGGGAGAGAGTTTACAATCAAGCTGTACTGCTCATTGACAAAGGGAAATGAAGGCAAGGGATGACAGCAACTGTTGAAATCTGGAGAGTTCTAGTAACCAACCACGTGGTTTGCCCAGGACTGAGGGGTTTCTTAGGACCAGGGGTATGATCTCTTTTAGAGACTTTTTCGCATTTTGTATTTATAGGCGTTAGTATCATCTTACTGTGCTGAGTTAGCCCCTTGTCTCTTAGAATGTAAGCTGCCAAGAAGCAGGAGGCCACGTCCCCTTCCAGGTCCTGCCCCCCAGTGCCCAGCATGGGGTCCGGCATGGCAGGAGGTGCTCAGCGAGTGCTCGCAGGTGCACTGTGAAGACCCCCGTCTGTGAAGCCCGACCGACTCCAAGAGCAGGGGCCATGTCTGTCCAATTCCTCCACCAGAGGCCCAGGGCAGGTGCCCAATGCCTAGTTGTAGAAGGAATGAGGGGTGGACGTCATAACAGCCTGGTCACCTGCCCCCTCCCGCCCTCTGCAGAATGTTTGCTGCCCGGAAGAAGCAGCGCTACTGGAGGTTCTCCATGGACTGCACGGGCACAGAGGCCCACGTCTCCAGCTGCAAGCTGGGCCCTCGGGTGTCCCGGGACCCCGTGAAGAACATCACCTGTGAGAATGGGCTGCCGGCTGTGGTGAGCTGTGTGCCTGGCCAGGTCTTCAGCCCTGATGGACCCTCAAGATTCCGGAAAGCTTACAAGCCAGAGGTGAGGACGGGACAGGAGGCTGGCCACTTGGCACCTGGGGGGCAGTGGGGTGCTGATGGTTAAGGGAATAGACAGCGACCCCCAGGGGAAAGCGAGGAGAGATGGCCCCAACTCAGACCACTTTCCTAGAGGGCAGGAAGGCAGAGAACATCTGTCAGGGCCAGCCTCACCAGTAGATGCCAGCTCTAGGGTGTGACAAGCAGCTGGGCCCCTTCCCCATATCGTTAGGATCCCCACCTGTCCTTCCACCCCTGCTGCTTCACTCTGAGACTGGAATCCCCTCTGCGGAGGACTGCACTATCTCCTGGCATGAAATGGGGTTGAGGGGAGCACTTGGCGCTTCTGCACAATTCTCGGAGGACAATAGAGTTCTGGAACTTTTGGAACTGCAATATAGCTCTCAAAAGCACTTGAGATCAGCTGCAAAGATTTGCAAACATGTTTTGGTTTATTCTTCAACAGAAATGATAAAAAATTTTAAAAGCTTTCACAAAGGTAGAAAATGAAAAACTTGCCATTACCACATGCATGTCATCTGTACCCATCGGTCACATCATGTGCATGTGCACCAGCACCTGTGAGTCACGTATGCTCACATGAATTAACACCTCCAATTTGACAGACCAATTTCCTAGGGCAAGTGAACCACCTCAACCATGGCCAGCTTGACTCAGCCTCTGAAAGAGAACACGAAAGGAAAGCCTCGAAAATCATGAAGAGGCTTTCCTTTTTCCCACCCTGCTTTGTTCAAATATCCACCAAAGGCTCTCTGGGATTTGCATGTTCTGGAAACTGCTAACGTGGGGCTGGTGGGTGGGAATAGTGGGTGGGAATAACGCATGGAAGAGGAGAGGGAGGGGCAGGAAAGAGCATTGATCGTTTATTAGGGAATGAGTCCCTGTGCCAGACAAAACCTCAGAACTTAGTAATCAGTCAGCTGGGCAGGGGTGAGTTCCAAGTCAGCTCTGAACACGGCAGGGTTAAGAGGAAGGGGAAAGGTGGTGATGGGGGCAGATGGTGTGTCCAGGCGGTGCTGCGGGAGTAGAAGCCCCTCCCCAAACTTGGCGGGCTTGGTTGGCTGAGGCAGCGCCGCTCTGTGTCTCCTTCCCCCTCTTCCTGCCTGCCCCCCCTTCCCCTCTGCACTTTCCAATCACCCCTCCCCGCCGACACCAAAGCCCTGCTCTTGGAAAGGGAGTAACAGCACTCATCCATCTGGAAAGGGAAACCAGGGCAGGGGCCAGACCTGCCCCCCCTTCGACCCTTCCTGGACTGGGGACCCTTCCTGGACTGGGGGGCGGTGTATTTGGACTAAGGAAGAAAACATAAACGAAAGGAGAGAAATGGATGTGGCAGCCCAGCCATCGACCGGAGGGTGTGGGAACTATTTGGAGTGCGTTCCTGGCCCTTCCAGCAGGCAGCTGGCCCTGCCCGCTCTGGAGCGCACAGTTCTGACCACACGGCACATGTGTGCGACCCGGTGGCACAGGCACACCTGCACGGTGGCAGCCCCCCTGCTGCCCCACCACACCCTCACTTGGCCCCCTGCCATGTGTTTTGATGGCCACATCCTCAGCCTGAGCCTCGGAGTTTTCCTCATGTGTCACCCAGAATGCCAGGTCCTACTGTTTGGAAATTCCTCTTACTGTGCAGTTTAAAGCAAAGGAATCAAATTCATACCAAACAAATTTTAAAAAAGAGAGAGAGCAAGAGAGCCTTACATCATATTTTCCCTTGGTTTCTTTCTTTCCTCCAGGGCCAAATGACTCAGCCTGGTCACTGCAGGCTGCGGCGAGGTTATTGGCACTCTGCCTCCATTAAACTTGAGTCGTGGACGGTCCGCTCCATGGGAAGGGGACCCTGGCATCCAGCTAGATAGCTTGGGAAGGGAGGTGGGAGAAAGGCGGGGACACAGTCACTAGGAAACAGGTTGGAGCCAGCAGTTTTACTTGTTTTGTTTTCTTAAGCTCGCTAGAATCAGGATCCCTGAAGCCAGTGGGTGTTTGGTACCTGCCGCAGTCCCTTTTCTTCTCCCCCTAGTGCCCAGGTCAGAGCAGCACCTAAGGTCTGTAAAACCAGGTGCTGTCATAGCACCCCACCCTGCAGTGGTAGCCACGAGACACAGTCGGTGGGAGAGAGAGATGTGGCCAAGTGGGAACCTCTACTGGAAGATGGAGACACAGCGTCTTGTTTAATCCCCTGCCACTCAAAGTGGCTAGTATATGTGAATGTCTTAAAAAAAAAAAAAACCACCTCCAACCAGGCCTCACTCGGCTGGGCCACGGTACTCGGGGGAGAAGGGAGCCGTGAAGGGAGCCCCAGGCCAGAGGAGAACAGAGGCTGATCTGATCCAACACACATAGAAAGGCTGCAGTCACCCTTTAGTACCTCTCAGCAGTAACTCAGAACCTGAAAGCCTTCTGAGTCCCCCACCCTAACACACTTGTGCACAGGTGCACACACACGCATACACACATGCATGCACAGAGACTGATGCAAACAAGGATATGTGGGCAGATAGCGTCAAGTGGCCCAGCTCCCATCTTGTAAGATATGACCCAGTGAGGTCAATGGAGAGTGGGTCATACTCCTGTGCAATTAAATAGACCCTCAGGTGATAAGGCTTCCAAGCTGTCAGTAAGCAGTTGGGGTATTTAAACTGGAACCACCCACCCTGTCTGCATCTCTGGTGGGGCTGCATCTTCTGAAGAGGGGAGCCGATTTGGACTTGAAGCGGAGTCAGGGGTGGTGGGAGCAGCCTGGTGGCCAAGCAGGAGCCCGGCTCCAGGGCAGATGTCGGTCTTAGCCAGTGTGAGCCTCTCACTTCCTTGGCGCATTCGTTCTCTAAATCACAGCCTTCTTGGTTAGACCCCACTCTCTAGCTCCCCGTCTTCCCCCTCCTGCCTCTCACCGGCGTGCAGAGTAGCATCCTCGCAGTGTAGTCTGTTTAGTGCCCCGGAGTCACCCACAGGGCTGGTCGACAGCACTCTATTATAGCCAGATAGAATGACGGTCTACCTGGAATCTGCAGACTTTGAAGGCTAGGAGCTTCTTTCTGTTGCTCTAAAGCTTGAGGTTCTGGATGAGGGGGTGGAAGGAAATGCTGGTGGTGAGGTCTTTGAGCCAGGCATGGGTTGGGGTGACAAGCTAATGAGGGTCCCAATGAGTTCCCCAGTGGTCTGGGACTAAAGCTTCATGAGAGGCTGGCAAAGGAGCTTGCAGCAGGGCTGACCATGCAGAGTGCCCCCTTGGACACACACACACACACACACACACACACACACACACACACACACACACACA